ATTTGAAGCGATTCTTCTTTGTAAGATAAACAAATGAAATAATTAAATCATTGAATTACTATAGGAATTAAATTATCAAGATAGAAATCAACTAAAAAAGTTAAAAATACTTAATGACCAGGAAGCGAAACTGCTTCACAATATCGCTGATGATGTTTAGTGAGTGGGCTTTTTAATTTCAATTAGTATTTAAAGTAGAAAAAAGTATAACGAGTTTTAGGAATGGCAACTTAAGCGAAAATAATTAGAGTAAGTAAACCAGTATCTAGAAACTTTTCTTTATATCTAATTATTTGCTATATATATTTGTGTTTTGTAGTAACCTCAGGCGCGATGCTTGTTCATCCGCGAGTTAATTTGTATGCGTTGTTTGTGTTTAGTAACCAGAAACTTCTTATATGTTTGTTACATAATAAGTTTTATTAACTTTAACGATTATAACTTCAATGAAAACGCAATTATTTTTATAAGTCTTTGTTTAAATCATAAAAATTGCTTTAAAAGATACAAACAAATACATTTACATAAAGAATAAAATCTCTTTTTAAATAAAAAATAAAAATATACTAATAAAATCTATGATTTATAATAAACTTTTAAAACTTTAACAATTTAATTAATAAATATTTAAAACATTTGTTTTCGTAAACAAATAATGTATATTCTAGGTCTCAAAACATAACAAAAACATTTTAACAAAATACTCTAGTACTTTATTTCGCTTAATCAGCGTATTTTTTGAACTAATAGAATTAGTTTGTTCGTTAATTTGGCGGGTTTTTAGTTTTCGCAAATATTCTTTTTATTCTTTCGCACAAAGATGTTCTTTTGAGAACATTCAAGTTTTTTATGTTTCCACGTATGTCCGTAAAACAAAAAAAAAATTTTTCGTACATAAACTTAAGTGTTCTTAAAAGGACTTAAAAACCTGGCCAATTTTACGCAACTAAATATAATTTCCGTGGTCAGTATTCGAGAGCGATCGCTCCCGCTTCCCGACCAAGCCTGAACTTGGAATCTTTTAAGTTGCTGTTAATCATTATCTTCCTCTGCAAATTTCATTTTTTCTCTTCCAACAACTTTTAACTCTAATAGTGTTTGTTTGCACCCTTGTTGGAATTGAAAATGTTAAAAAAAGTAATAATAATTGCTTGATGAGAAAAAAAAACATGAAACAGGATGGATTTTGAGTAGTTTCTGACTACCATTCTCTTCATTGTATCTTTTTTCATAATATTCTTGTGTAGAAAAAAAGTAAAATCGACGGGAAGGTACTTTAAAAAGCTTGTTGTGCACTCAATGTACTTAAGGAAGGAACTGTAAAATATGTAATTTTTAGAAGCGATAAATAATCAAAAATTAAAAATTTTTATCTTACCAGGCTTCAAACAAAATATTTCAAATTTTACAATGAATCTTATTAAAATAGCTCCTCTTAAAATATATTCATGTAAAACGAATACCTTATTTTTAATAAGGTTCTCCAACAACCTTAAATATTTTAAATATATAAGGTTGTAGGAGATGTTATTTAAAACCTTCCTAATTGTTCGTTTCGCTTATCAAGGAAAATTTTTTAACTTAAATGCCTGTGTTTGTATTTCATGTTTCCAATGATCCTGTTTGCACCATATATTAAAATTAAAAGTGAGGGACATATTAAAACGTTATTTATTATGAAAAATATTTTGAATTTCCTGATTTTTTTTCTACTATTTTGTGTGAATAATTTGTTAATAAATCAATTTTTAATAGTTTATTTGAAATATCTCACTTATTGCAAACTTAAAATAATATTCTAATCCTATTATTTAATTAAAAAAGCATAAGATTTATAAGATTTCATATTAAAAAATGAGGTATTAAGAAAAAATCAAAGTTTAGAACTTTTTATAACAATGTTATGAAAAGTTATTATGAAAAAGTTTATAAAAATTAGTTTTCAGTTTTTTTTTCTTTAATACTCTTCGTGTTTTTTTAAACAACAGCACTTTTTTGGTTGGTTATATTACTATGAACTGCATAAAAAGAATATCTAGAAAAAATTTCTAAATAATCTTTGCTCAATAGAAATTAACAGCAAAAATATAAACTTTCCATGTAATAAGTATGATTTTTGTGTAATATGTAATAACATGTAATGGAAATGAATGAGTAATAAATGATATATGTAATAACAATGTATTAAAAATGTAATAAACAAGAATATACAAAATAAAAAAAGAAACTACTTTTAAATATAAAATATACATACACATTGCAATTCAGTAATCGGTTCACATAAATACTTCCATTATATTATCTAAGCATTTGATCCATATATAATTCAAGTATAGTTGAGTATTGTAAGTAAATATTGAGTTATAAAAAAAGTGAACATAAGCTGTAATTAAACAAGATTTTGTTCCATTTATGATGAAATGAAATTCAAGAAGAAAAATTATATTTTTAATGGATACAATATACATAAGTAGTAAGTACATTTCTTTAATAGTTTAACTTCACTGGCAATTTTAAGGGTGACTGATACAAACGAAACAAATTATATAATAGCTTACTTTCTTGTTGTATGTAGCAGCAGTAAAATTATGTCATTGTCAAGCAGAATGGTAATTTATGCTGCAAAAATCATTTATAAACAGTTCAACTTTGCTGTAACTATCACAAGCAATTTTCCAACAACAAGATTAGCTATTTAAATAAATCTTTAAATAAATATTTATTTCCTTGTTATAAACTCACATGCACTTGCGAACGGAAAAAAATAACATTAAAAACATAAACATAATATGTGCGCATGCGTTAATTTTCAGCCGCAGAAGCAATTTTTAGTTGTTTACAGAGGCTGAATCAGGGCCGGTGCACCCTATAGGCGAACTAGGCAATCGCCTAGGGCGCCAAAGTTTAGGGGCGCCTAAAAATTGATAAGTTTTTTTATATGCTAACAAAAAACAACGCTTTTGCTCATTGAGCAATATGTACGTACATTTTACCGAACGCAATCTAAATCATAACAAATATGGCGGCGTCTTTACAATCAAAGTGATTTTCATAACAACTTTCAATAGTTAGTCGACTATATTCTTTATATAATTTATACTGACAATATATATATATATATATATATATATATATATATATATATATATATATATATATATATATATATATATATATATATATACATATAGATGAATAGTGACATTTTATATACTATTATACATTTATATTAAGTTTTAGACACTTATTAAGAAAAGTAAAATATTTTTTATATGAATATATAATAACTAGCTTAAATCTAGGGCTATTATATATTACGTATTATATTATTATTCAACGCTTATCATACCGATATTAAAAAGAATTAGTTTTTTCCATAAATATTTTTCTATAAAATTTGTAGAATATATATTTTTTTTAATATTTATAGAATTTTTTTTTGAAAAATGTGTCATTTTTAATTCACTATTTTTTGAAAATTTGATTTTCACTGTTTTCCGCATTCGTTTCTGTTAGCTGGATAAATTTTTTACTTTAACAATTTGATTCAATAATTTAGTAATCTGACATCTAACTTTATAATGATTTTTGTTGTGCCTTTATTAACTTAACTCATGTTTCTATAGCAATGTAAAGACTTTTTTTATAAAATTTTGTATCTCCTGTGGTCACAACGCTTTAAAATTATACTTCACCATACGTATAACTTTGCTATACAAAATAAAATTTGAATTATTTAAACACAATGCATCTAGCAGGTTAAATTTTTTGTTGAGTCGCTTCTACAATATGTCTTGATCTGCACCAGCTAATTACACATTGAAATCTCATTCATATAGCTAACTTCCATTTCCGTTTAAAAAAACACAAAAAATACTAGCAGGGCGTATAACTTTGCCAAGTTGTTTTTTGTATAATACAGTTAAATGATAACCTGTTAAAACCTTACAGAGCTGTTCAGACCTGTTGGAAACTATAGCTAGCTATATATAATTTATTCGTGAAGCCAATCACAGAAGACCTATTAATGTATTAGTTAAACATTGCAACATTCATTTATTTTATTATTTTCTTGTTACATTTTAGATATGGCTGAGAGAAAGAAGCCTTCAGGAGCTCAATATCGTAAACGAAAAGTTGAACAGCAGAGGGAACAAGAAAAACGGAAGGGTTCATTGCTAAAGTTTATATGCCGACAAGACTCTACTAAAGAGGATAGTAATGGTGGACAGATTCCCACTGATATGGAAGCTGAAGAAATATCTAATGTTGTTGATAATGATAATGTGATGATGAGTGAAACACTTTCTTACTTAACAGTTCCCGTTTCCCATGCAGATAATGGCCAATTGAATAATTCTCTCGAGGAACATGTACAGCAAGCAAGTGAAGAAAAAACGGATAATGTTATTCCACAGGATCCAGCACTTTGGCCTCTACTAATTAATCATAATACACGTGCAATCATTGTAGAACGTGGACCTCAGCAAATAAAAGATATCAGTTTCCCAAATGATAAAAACAATCGAAAGTTTTCAGTATTTCACTACTTAAGAAAACTTCCTAATGGAGAAGAATTATGTCGCAGCTGGCTCTTGTATTCAGTATTAAAAGACTCAGTGTTTTGTTTCTGTTGCAAACTGTTCAGTATGAAAGCAATTGGCATATCATCACTAACTCATACAGGTTCAAGTGACTGGAAAAACATGGCGGCAATATTTTCTTCCCACGAGAAAAGTCATGAACATTTGTAGAACTATCAAAAGTGGAAAGAACTACATCAGCGATTACAGAGGGATAGTACAATAGATGCAGAAATTTTGCGCAAGATAAAGAATGAAGAAAAGTATTGGCAGCAAATACTAAAGCGTTTAATAGCATTAGTGAGAGTTTTGGGTGAACAAAATCTAGCTTTTCGCGGTACAAATGAAACATTGTAAAGTGCCAATAACGGGAATTTTTTAAAATTTGTGCAATACTTAGCCATTTTTGATCCATTAATGAACGAACATCTACGAAAGATATCAAATAAAGAGCTTCATACACACTATCTTGGCAAAGATATACAAAGTGAACTTATTCAACTGTTAGGAAATGCTATTAAGAAAGAAATCATACAAACAGCAAATGCAATGAAATATTTTTCAATAGTTCTCGATGGTACTCCTGACTGTAGCCATGTTGAGCAAATGACAATAATTATTCGTTTTTTTAAAGTTGATTCATTGAAAAAAGAGTTTAGTATCAAAGAACATTTTTTAGGCTTTGTACCTTTAAAGAAAACAACTGGAGCCTATATGGCAGAAACGATAATACAACAACTAGAAGAAATGGAGTTACCTATTGATAATTTGCGTGGCCAAGGCTACAATAATGGCGCAAATATGATAGGCAAAAATAATGGTGTTCAAAAGAAAATATTAAACATTAATCCTCGAGCATTGTTTGTTCCTTGCAGCGCGCATACTCTTAATTTGGTTGTCAATGATGCTGCAAATTGCTGTCTAATGGCTACAAGTTTTTTTGATATTGTCCAACGTGTGTATGTATATTTTTCGTCTTCAACACATTGGTGGGTAGTTTTCACTAGTCATCAACCTACGTTAACTGTTAAACCTCTAAGTGAAACAAGATGGGAAAGCAGAATAGATGCTATAAAGCCTTTGCGATATGAACTTGGTAAAATATATGATGCACTGCTAGAAATAGCTGATGATACTTCTCTAACTGGATCCTCAGGAAGCACTGCACGCAGTGATGCTAAAGCACTTGCAAATAGTGTTGCAAAGTTTAAGTTCGTGGTTTCAATTGTTGTATGGTACAACATACTTTTTGAAATCAATATAACAAGTAAGCAGCTCCAAGCTAAAGATTTGGATATTCATGCTGCTGTACAACAGTTACAACACACACAAGCCTATTTGGTTGACTGTAGGAGTGACATAGGTTTTGCAAGAATGCTAGTGGATGCTGCTAAAATTGCTAAGGATTTGGAGATACCACCAACCTTTGAGGCAGAACCACGATTACGGCGGAGAAAAAAGCAATTTGCATATGAAGCTGAAGATGAGCCTGTACAAGATCCAAAACAAAATTTCAAAGTGAGTTTTTTCTTTGCTATACTTGACACAGCAATAAGGTCGGTTGAAGAAAGGTTTGAACAAATGATGAAAAGGTTTGAACAATTGAATCTGTATTTGGTTTCTTATATCATATTCATGGTCTACAGAGTAAAACTTCACAAGAAATATTGGAATGTTGCATGAAACCAGAATCTGTTTTACAACATGGTGATAACAGAGATTTAGTTGCATCAGATTTGTGTGGCGAACTACAGTCTATTGCACGACGACTTTCTGAAGAAACAAAGTCTCCTCAAGATGTTTTTCGATTTATTCTTTGCCAAAACTTGGAAGACAGTCTACCCAACCTTTGTATTGCTCTTCGTATTTTGCTGACATTACCTGTTTCTGTCGCTAGTGGAGAGCGTAGTTTTTCCAAACTAAAATTGATAAAGACATACATTCGATCATCCATGTGCCAAGACAGATTGATTAGATTGGCAACTCTTTCCATTGAGCACGAACTTGCAGACAAGCTGGACCTGAAGGACCTTGTGATCGATTTTGCCCAGAAAAAGGCACGCAAATTACAGTTTTGATATTTTTAAATAAATAAATACTTACCTGGTGTTTTCACTTTATTTTGCATTTTATTTTGATTTTTTTACGTAAAAGGGGTGCGACCTTTGAAGTTTTGCCTAGGGTGTCATAACCCCTTTGCACCGGCCCTGGGCTGAATATTCAGCCGCAGAAGATTAGTCCTATATATATATATATATATATATATATATATATATATATATATATATATATATATATATATATATATATATATATATATATATATATATATATATATATATATATATATATATATATATATATATATATATATGGTTTTTAAAAATTTTTGAAAAAAAAGTATTTTAATGAGTCCCTCAAGACCCTTATTTTTTTTATTATTATTAGGAACATAATAAGTTCCTAATAAATTAAAAAAATTAAATTAAAATTAAAAATTAAAACATTTTAATTAAAAAAAAATTAAAAAAACACAATTAAAAAAAAAATTATATAAGTGTATTATGTATAAATTATATCATAATGGTCATATCATAAGTATTATGTATAAATTATATCATAATGGGTCTCAAGTGAAGCAAAATTATATGAAAGTTTCAAAAAAAATATTGCCAAAAATTGGTAATAATAAACAATTTTCTTTTTTAGTTAATAAAATTCATTTTTTATGGTGTTAAATCTAACATATTTTTAACCTATTTTTTAAGTATAAATATGCAAATAAATGCATTTAAACAGTTTATATATGCAAATAAATGCACTAATACAGTTAAAAAAAAATACTTGCATCATAAAAAGGTCTTTAATCACTTATTTCTTTATATTACTTGCAAAAAATTTCACTGCGAAAAAATATTTGCATTTCAGGTAAAAAAAACTGTTTTTTAAAATTTTTTGAATAAATAATATTTTGATGACTCCCTCATAACCTTTAGGAACTTGTTATGTTTTATTTATTTAGGAACTTATTATGTTTTATTTGAGTGTATCATATTGAGTCTTAAATGAAGCAAAACTATATGAAAATTTCAATGTTAGATTTAACACCATAAAAAATGAATTTTAATAACTAAAAAAGAAAAATGTCCATTTTTACCAAATTTTAGCAATATTTTATTCATATTTGACATTTTCATGATTTCGCTTAAATTGTGCCGAAATGTCAAGATACACTTTTGAAGATTTTTTTAATTGATAATAATTGGAAATCTTTATATGTTTAAGGGACTCAAAAAATAATTTTTCTTCAAAAAAATCTTAAAACCAGTGTTTTTTTATTGTATAAAACACATTAGGAGGTGGCAGCTATATATTTTTTTTTAAATATAGCTACCAAAAGTTTAAAAATTTAAAAAAATATCCTATTAATAAATAAGCTGATAATAATACAGTGCAATAACGGTTCCAATCATATGTTGAATTAAATATTTAAACAGTCATATACTTTTTTGTAATATATATTTATATATATATATATATTACAAAAGAAAAAACAAAATATTTTTGTTTTGCTTTTTATTTCTTCTGCACTATGAATGGTGTTGCAGAAATAAAAAACATAATAATTCTCAAAAATTTTTTCATAAAATTTCACATGCTCATATGTTTGAATGTTGAATGTTGCAACAAAAAAGGAAAAAATGCAGTAAAAAAGAATACTTTTTTGCTAAAACTTTCCCTATTTTTTAAGTATAAATATGCAAATATATGCATTTAAACAGTTTATATATGCAAATATATGCACTTATACATTTAAAAAATGCATACTTGAAATATAACAATATATATATATATATATATATATATATATATATATGTATATATATATATATGTATGTATATATATATATATATATATATATACATACGTAAACACATGTAATATATATATATATGTGTATCATTATAATCAAAAATACCATAAATATATATATATATATATATAATCAAAAATATCATATATATATATATATATATATATATATATATATATATATATATACATACGTAAACACATGTAAAATATATATATATGTGTATCATTATAATCAAAAATATCATAAATATAGAACATATTTATCTGAAGTTAAAAAAAAAATTATTGAAATCCTACTCTCAGGCTTTAAAAAAATTGATTTCAAATAAATAAACAAATCTATGAGTTACACTAAAAAGTTGTTAATTGAAAATAAAGTTTAAGTACTCAAAGATATTTTTTATCCTTTTTATATATATATATATATATATATATATATATATATATATATATATATATATATATATATATATATATATATAAATATATATATATATATATATATATATATATATATATATATATATATATATATATATATATATATATATATATATATATATATACATATTTGTGAAAATTTTGTAATAATATACTGATCTACATAAAAATAAGGCTACAACATTGAGTTTTTAGAGATCAAATAACAAATAACACGATTGCCATATAAAGTATACTCTGTAGTTAAGAACCGTAGCCTTTTAAAAATTCAAAAAACTTTTTTGCATTTTTTCACGCATGCGTACCTAAACATAGCGCTTGTAAACGACCGTGTTTAATGTCTTTTTAAATAAAATCTCAGGTCTAGTTTGAGCATGCCGCTAGCATACTCTTCTCTTGATTATTTATCAAAACCTTACAATGTCAAAAATACATAATCATCAGTCTTATTCATTCTAGATCTTATTTAGTAAAATTTATTCCATTAGGGTACCTTTTGCATTACTTAACATCAAATTGCAGCGCTTAAAAGATTTGTAGTTCACCTCATATAATATGCAAAATTCATAACGCACAGATTTTGATTCTTTAATATGCAATAAAAACTCAAGTATTTTTTTTAAAGTTGATAGTAACAGAAATATATTTTAAGGTATATTTACTTTATTAAAACTTAGTGTTATCATTTCACAGCTAAAGGAATAGTTTTTTGACGTAAAGTACAAAGTTAGTTGTACAAAACGTCATTAAACAGTTATTTGCTCAAGATTTTCTACAAATGAGTTTTAGCTTATTTGAATAAAGTTAATAAATTTTAATAAAGCTGACCAATACTTCTTTAAATAAAAAATAAAGCTTATAAGTTTTTGCATAAAAATTAATAACTATTGTAAAAGAAAGTTCTATTTTTTTTTAAATTAAAATTTTATGTGTTAAAATAGTTTTTTTTTTTTTGTGAAATGAGCTAAGATCTTTACACTATTCTTTTAGAAATGACTTTAAAAGTTAAATCTCAGTCATATTTTTAACTCAATAAATCATAAATTAAGTAACGAGTTACATGAAAACTTTCAAATTATGAGAAACAATTTTGCAAAATCAATTTAAGTTTATATTAATTTATTTATTTTTCTTTAAAATTGCTAATGAAGTAATATTAAATGTAGTTTTTAACATTAAAAGTTATTGAAATCTAACGCTAAGGATGCAACATTTTTTGTAACCTAAAAAATCCAGCAAAATATAAGGCAGTTGCTGCCGTTTAGAAGGTAGATTATTTAGTGCGTTAACAAGGGCCCATTTTAATTAGTTTTTAAATACCTTGAAAGTTGGAATTTATATCAAATATTTTAGAGAAATATAAAAAGCTTTACACAGCTTTATTTTGAAGTCTTTTTGCAACTTTATCCCTTTAGCGCCTACTAATGTCTAAATTTTTCAAATAATTACAAAACTTCTAAATAACAACTGCTTTAGTACCTAGATTATGAATAAAATAATAAAAGCCAAAAATCTCACTTACTAAGCCAATTAGTTAATTGTAGCATATCTTCTATAATGGGAATATGAGGAATCAAATTACATCTTATAAAACAGTAAATAATCATTTATAGTATAAATATAGTTATATGAACAAATCTTAAATGCTATTAATGGTAGTCATGGTGGCATTTCTGTCTTTGGATAAGCATAGCCAAATATTGCACTTTTTATATCAAATATAGGAAAAACCGGTTTGCATTTCTCACACCGTTGACGTTTGTCACTAAGTTGGTAAGTGATCAAATCAATCTAGCCGGATATCCTTTGTAGAATTACTTTGAACAGCTGCAGCTCTTTTGATAGGTATAGGTATTGCATCAATGACGGTCTTCCAGGTTTTCCTTTTACAACAGATGTCAAGTTAGAAGCTACTGCAGCTTGAAACATTTTTAAAGGCATAAATTTTTAAGTGGGACAAAAAAATTTTAAGTCAAGACAATAAAAAAACCATGCATTTGATTACACAATAAAGAGGCTATGAACTCATATATACTCAAACCTTCTATGGCATTTTAAATTTAGTTTGTAGAATGAACACATCATATCCAGTTTGTCAACATCAATATTTTTATTATAAAATTGGACTATATAAAGGTTGTTTTACCATAATGTATTTGCTAGTACTTCTGTAATAACGCCTCATTGTGTTAATTGTTTCCATACTCTTGAAAGATGAAACTAAAGTTACTGCCTTATTATCTATTCAACAAACAGTTATATTATTAGCATTGGTGTTAATACCATAGTCAAACAATCTGCGTCCTTTCAATTCTTTTTTGGAAAGAAATGAGCATTTGTTATAGTGTTTAATTTGTGTTTTTCCAACATACCATATTTGGTGTGTTGGAAAACGTACCAATATGTTTTTTTAGCTCATTTACCTAAGGCAATGAAAAAAATTGATTATCAGCAAATATTTAAAAGTTACGATTATCTTGCAAAGTTGATTTCATTTTGATTACAACAGATGCCCCATTACCACGAGTAGAGTATTCATCTTTCTTTTTAATTTATTTTCCTTGATTAAAATCAAAGCCATACAAATACGCGCTGACACCACATCTAACCCAAAGTTTGAACCCCCTACTTATCTGATTTGTTTGCGACAGATTGCTTCAAAAATGACTTGCCTTTGAAGGTTACCATTATCTCATCAACTAATAGATTTTCTTCAGGAGAAACTCTTAAGAAATTGTATCTCAGTTTTTCTAACAAAGTTCTTAGTTTTCAGGCCCGATCGTTTTTCTTAACTTCATCTGTCACTTTTAATTTTAGAAAAAGTGTAAATAGCGAAGAGTAGAAAGAAATCAATCACCTGATAATACTGAACTTATCTCATCATAATTCATAAAGGTTTTCCAATAAGAAATTACTGGTGGTAGTTTCGCTAGACCGATTCAAAAATAAACACCAATAAATGACTCTATTTCATTGGGTGTGATATAAATGCTTTTACCTGGTGATTGGCAACTATATAAACTAGATTGTTCAGCAAGAATGTTTATAAGATTGTGATCAACATACATTTTAAAAAATTTGTATGAACTTTATTTGGAATAGGTTCAATAGGTGCTTCTTGAAAAATAATATCACCAACTAAGTCATTATCAAGTGGAACTTTCTTCCAAAGTGGCGTTATGCTTAGATGATTATATAAACTCTTAAAATTATGTTATTTTTATTACTTTAATTGACTTTTTCGGATTTTTTTTTTCTTTTGAGTTAAGGTTAAGAGTTGAAAGCATATCATCATCTGCACTAATTTTCTGGGTAAGAGACTCCAAAACGGGTGAAAGTATATTGGCATTGTTGTAATTATGTACAAGGTTAGTACACTGTAAAAAATGTCACGCCAAATTGTCTAATAAAATTGCCATGTCACGAAGCCCGATTTAACCCGCGACATTTAGAGTTAAAACTGTCTCGCGACTTTTAGATATTAAGTTTGGCGCGACATTCTTAACTAAATCAGTCACGCGACTTTAAGCAATTAAATATGGCGTGACATTTATAATTAAATTTGTCACGCGACTTTTTAAAAAGTATGGCGTGACAATTTAATTTCTTATTTGTCACGGGACATCTAAAACACTATCGTCTCGCATGTCACCAAGTCCGATTATTCACGCCACATTTAAAAAATTTAAATGTGGCGCGTTAAATCGGGCTCGGTGACATGCGACACGATAGTGTTTTAGATGTCCCGTGACAAATAAAAAATATAAATGTCACGCCATACGACATCTCTAAAAATCGCGTGACTAATTTAATAAATGGCACACTTTACTTAAATTAAATAAATAAAAAGACCAAAGAAATAATGAAAATTATATTTTATTTGTATAAAAAGTAACCATCATCAAACATAAATATAAATATTTAATTTTAAATTGTCTTAATGTTTTTGTTCGAAGAGTTGAACAGTTGCAAAATACAACAAAACCTTTAATAAGACTCGGCATTTTTTTAACCAAAGTTTATTTGTACAAGCAAATGGTATTTGCAAGACGTAATGCTGCAACAGCCCCAAAACTTCCCCAAACGATCTTAGGTACGACAAGTCCATAATATAATAATAAGCAATTAATTGAAGCACGTGTAGGGAATCATTATGCCGATGACCAATCGCAATTACTTTCCCTTTATTAACAAATGTTATTTTCTCTCCTAAAATGAGTTGCGGCCCAGGAGAAGAGACGTTATCTTCAGACTAAAAATTTGTTAAAAAATAAAAATTTAAATCTATTTTAATAACATAACATTACAAAAATAAATAACAATTTAAAAAATCCAAAAAGAAACAACTATATGTTAAACTTACACTAGCAATAACAATTGGACACAACACTCCTTTTCTGGTAGTGTTCTTATGAAATCGTATTAGGGCAGACGGAATATCTGAACCTGGATACAACTTTTCAACAACTTGCAATAGCCTCTCTAATGCAGTTTCTTTGGAAACAATGCCCATTCTTTCAAATTCGTCCATGATCTATAAATTTTTAACCCATTTGGAATAACTTTTTGCTTCCCTCCCAATAAGGGAGGGAAGGGATCACATATTACAAGTATTATTTGCTTACAATTTCTGGATGAAACAGGTGCTCTTTGTGTTCTGAATATGGCAGAGAACACTTCATGTTCCTAACCAAACAACGAATATGATCCATATCAGGAACTCTTTGTAACAAAGCAAACTAACATACAAAGAAATTGCAATAACTCTAAAGTAAACCTTATTAAATTCTTTCTGTATATATTAGATAATAATAATTTTTATTTAGAATATACTGATTAAAAAAATTTCTTTTAAAAAAGGGCTCATCTGTATAACCTGTATATCTTCATCAAATGAGCTGTCGTTTATTCCAGAGATGTTTAGCATTCTGTTTGCATTTTTTACCTCAAGCAAACTTTTTGTTTGAAACGCGCTTTATAACTCCACCCTAAAAAAGAAAATTTATCATTGAAATAATATCTGATAATAATAAACTGAAGATTAAAAAAAACTGAATCTATATCTACTTGAATTTAATTTTACCCTTATTTGGAGTAATTATCCATACCTTATGTTCTGCTTAATTAAATATCTTTTAAAAATGATGTTGTGAACTATTTATTGGTTTTTATAATTTATATTTGGGTATATTATTTATTTTTGGGTAATATTTCACTGATGTTTATGGAAAATTTAAAACATTAAAGGTCAAACTTACTGTACCCTCTTCTCCAAAAATACAGGTTGGGTATGACTGTTTCAAAAGGACAGTTACACGATTATAGAACCTTTTTTTTATTGAAGGGTTTCCCTCTGGAAGACACTCTTCAGAGATAAGCCCAAATATTGGGCTTATCTCTGGCTTTAGAGTATGAATAAGGAAACTGGATAATAAAACTATTAAGTGCAGCTAATGAGTATATACGTTTTTCACAAATATGCAATCGCATCAGAAGACATAGTTCATGGGGTACTAGTCCTTCAAGCAATGTGCATGGGATCGTGTGGTGCGTTTTCAGTAATATCAAAAGCGGTGATTAGTAAAAGTGCACTCTCATAATTTATGCCATAAAATCTTGACTAATAGAGTTTAGATTTTTTACTTTTCACACTCTTGAGATCTAAGATATTCTGCTGGTAGTTTGCTTGAGTACGTAATATACACATATCTTCTCTGTAAATTGATGACATTTGTATATTTGTGGTGAGACATGTACGACAGCATCTAAATACATTTGGTGCAAAGCTGGTTTTAAATCCACAAATGTGATTTAAAGCTAATGTATCTCCCAAATATATTACATATTTTAAAAATAGTTTTACTCAACCAATCATTGAATTAAAAGTAACACCATTATTCAAAAGATTACAGGAAGTAATAAAATCTTCTAAGTGCTGAAAATAAGCCCCTTTTTTATTAGACTTAAATAACTTTACAGGCACAACAGCAAGTGAAAAAACTGATATTAAAGTAGAACGCATATATGATGGCAAGGAATGAAATTGAACATAGAAAATAGTTAGTTTATGAAGTTTTCTGTGTTTGCCAATAGGGTTAGCTAATTCTATATCGTCACAATATAAGCTAAGAGTAAATTCTAATGGCTTGTGGGTAGAGAAATCTGTAAGATAATTTGCTTCAGCATCTTTCCTACTTAAAAGTTGTACAAACTCATCAATTTGCAAAAGGAAATTAATAATGTCAAAATAGTAAAAAATTATAACCTTTGCCACCAGCAAACAAAACTTCATTTATTTTCAAAATGTCAAACAAATCATTTAACAATTTTTACTCTTTGATATTTATTACTAAGGATATCCACTTGTGAAAAATACTTGTCAAAAGTATGAAAATGCTCTTCTTTTATTAACTTCCGAATATTAAGTAACATATTGGCGGAAATACTAAATATTGTATTGACAGTTGTTGAAGGCACTCTCAACTGACCACAGAGTTTAATTGCAAATGTTGTTTGTGAGTCTCTTTTTATCTTTGGAAAGGGTAAAACTGCTTTTTCATTTTTTTTGCAAATGTGCCTTGATACTCCTCTTGTTGATTTAAATGAGGCATTACAAATTTTACAAACAATTTTACATATTGAACTTATACCTAAATGTCTGTCCATACGTGCATTATTTTCAGACATTAATCCACAGCAACATACCTTAACTCCAATCTCTAGAGAAAGTGGAGACTGGACAGTTGCTGGGACATTCATAATTTGTGGCTGCAAAATTAACGATGATTGTGTCGAGCTTTTACTTGTACCAGGAGAATCCCCTGAACTTTCTCGGCTATAAATTGGAACAGAGTTCAACATTTCAAGAAACGTCGGTTCATATGTTACTCTTTCGAATGATGGGTCTGATTCTGAAATATAATTATCATATATTAAAACACGAAATATAATTATCATATATTAAACATAAGATAAGCATCAAGAAAAATATTATTAGTTTAGAACAAACTTTTAAAATAATAAGAAAAAACCGGACATAATGATTTTAGACTAACTTATAGTAAATTTTTACCAATAATCTTGACAACGATTTCACAAGGTTTAGGAAGAGCAACTATTATCTCATCTTCTAAGACCATGTCAGAAAACATCAAATCAAAGTCATCTGGCAATACATTGATCTTTGAGGACACTACAACAAAACATTATTTTCATATATTTTATGCATAAATTGGGTAAAACTATGACAATTTTATTACAAACTATGTTTAACTAAACAACATTAGATAGCAATATCTTTAGGCATAGAATACAATAATAGTATAAAAATAGCAATTAGATTATCTAATAGATATTATTTTATAAATTGTATTTTAAGCTTATTTTATAATTTTACTTTAAATAAGTAAAATTAATAAATAACTTTGATAATACTATTGTCACAAATTTTGAAAATATATACTGAAAGTAAAATTGTTATCTTAAAATTGTAAAAACATTTTAGTAACTGTAACTATGTATACCTAAAGATATTAGCATATGTATGTATTGTAATTATTACTATTGTGTGTTGGCTTGATTAGTTTATACAATTTGTGATACAATTAATAGTTTGGATTATCTTAAACAAAAATAAAAACCAAAATAAAAATTAAAAACTAAACCTGTAATAAAATTATCAGAACAAATTCTAGAATAATATAAATCAAAAGATAACTTTTCAGGTTTTATTGCAATAAACCATTTACTTTTAGTGCAATAAAAGTAAATATTTTAGTGCAGCAAAATACTTTTTTCTGTTGTTGTTGAAATCCTCGTCGTGATTAGAAATTTTGATCGAAATACGAAAAAATTACTTAAACAACTTTCCATTTGATTAGCCAAAAATACAACCAAAAAGCAGGACTTAGATGCTATCAAAATTATACCAATAGATAAATAAAATTTAAATATGACATAACAATCAAATTGATTATTATATACTATTAATTCCGTATTTGTTTGTTTCTCGAACCACCATTATTAAAAGTTCTATTTAAAAAAAAAAAGCTAGTGTGGTCAGGTCACACAGAAACTCTGACATAAATAGCCTAATAAAGTTTTTTTAAAACAATGATAATTGTAAATAATCGATTGACAGTCCAATTGCTAATAATAGCAATGTACACAATGGCATTGTGTAAAGATAATCGTTATCATAGTGTATAACATTGTAAAACGAGCTTGAAATACTCAATGATGCATTAAGAATAAGAATTATAAATAAAGAATAGGTATTCCTAATATATCATTGAAAATACTTATCTCAGATTAATTATCAACTTACTTTACTCTCATAAGTTATGACAATTTATGTAGAGTGCATTTTTGGCTAATATTTTAAGCATTAATGGTAATGTAATAAAAAGTAAAACTCGTTGCAAAGAAATTTTTACCTTTAGATTTAAGCGTGAACAAATTATCATCTACAGCCAAAACCACTGGCATAAACTTTAATAAATAGGAAATTTTAATTATTTTAGACATTTTAGTCACAGAATGAACCACGAAAAATTAAATAATGTGATATTTTTTTTTTTCGCTGCGGACACTCATATGTTTTATTAGTCACGCGACATTTAGCGCGTGGCGCGAAATTTATTAGTAAGGCGTTACATTTAAACAATTATACTCTCCGTGACATTAATAATTACGTGTAAACTTTAATGTCGCGTGACTTAGTGACCTAAAAGTCACTTTCACAATCTAAAATGCTAGAGCGTTTTCAAAGTTTAATTTTTTAATTTTTTTCATCTAAAGAAAAGTAATATATGTATATATATATATATATATATATATATATATATATATATATATATATATATATATATAATACATATATATATATATATATATATATATATATATATATATATATATATATATATATATATATATATATATATATATATATATATATATATATATATATATATATATATATATATATATATATATATATATATATATATATATATATATATGTATTATATATATTTATATATATATATATATATATATATATATATATATATATATATATATATATATATATATATATATATATACATATATATAAGAGCACAAGGTATGTCTCTTAAAAAAGCTGGTATCATTTTTAATATTCTAGCGTTTTCAAAACCATTTTATTACGTTTCTATATATCGAGTGTGTAGAAAAGAAGATGTTTATTTGAATCGTAGAGACAAATTGATGCTGCAAAGTATTTTAAAATGCGTAACAGCAGGTAAAGACTTTATTGCTTTTTATAAAAACATTTAATAACTTTATTTTTCGATATCTGCTAAAGTTTTTTACACAATAAAATAAGGAGGTTGTATGTCCAATTTTTTTTGATTGACCCTTTGTATGTCAATTTCAGCTCGTCTTTTATATGATCAGCCAAATATTTTATTTTTTTTACGTTAAAAATATATTTTAATAAAAAAGAATTTTCATTATTCATTTTGTTTGTTTTTTAAATAAACGATTTTTTTTTTTTTATTTTTTTTTTTATTATATTTCGCAGTTTATATAAAAAAATAAAATAAAAAAATTACAATGAAACTTTTACATTACACAAAAAATATATATAAAACAGACAGGAGCTCAAAGAAGATAAGGATTACTGTTGTCACTACAATCTTTTCATAGAGCCCCTTTACAATATCATTTAAAGCCCACATAACTTTATAAAATTTACATCAAATACTTTATCTGTTAAATACTACGTGAAGAATAAAGAAAAAGTCATATATGCATATATACTCATATATACATATACCCATAAAAACACACACATATACAAACATACTTACATATATGTCAGAAATTAAGGAGATGCTGTTTCATTTGTTGTTTAAAAGAGAAAGTGCTTTTCAAATTTTTTATATTGTTATTTTTTATTTGATTCTAAAATGACAGGCCTTCGCTAATAAATGAGAATTTCGACACTTGCGATTTTATTATGCTCAAGTGATTGTTACGGTTGTTATTTGTATTTTTTGAAAATGCTGATGTAAAAATATCAGAAATCACTTTTGGCAGCAAATTATCCTTATATTTATACATAAATATTAATATTTGAAGCGAATTAACTTTTGATATATTTAAAACATTTATGTATTTTATTACAGAGTTAACTGCTTTACATGGGTGATTTTGTAGGCTCTGTAATCCTAATAACTTAGTTTTGTGTGTGTTAGCCAAAACAATATTAGCGTAGATGGCAACGAACAAGACTGAAGTAAAACATTTTGCGTGATTTATAATCAAGAAAGGCCCTAGGTTTATATAATACACTTATAGCAGAAGTTATTTTTGCTTCAATGAGACTAATATGTTTTTTCCATGATAGGTTCTCATCAAATATTACTCCCAAAAACTTTAAATGATTTACTCGATTTATTTGCTCTTTATTGATTGACAGTTTCGACAACTTTAACGGAAGATTAGTTGGTTGTCTTATTTTATGGAAGAGAGTATAACTTGTTTCTTCACAATTTAATGATAACTTATTAGCTATAAACCATTGTTTAAAGCTTTCTAATTCAGTGTTTATTGTTTCGAACAATATTTTTACATTAGAATTGTTGTAGAATAAGTTTGTATCGTCTGCATACATAATTGACAGTATTTTATGAGAAGCTTTATTCATATCATTGATATATATTAAAAATAATAAAGGTCCAAAAATTGATCCCAGTGGGACTCCGCAAACAATATCAAGAGCTCCTGACTCCTCGAGGATAAAAAACTGTTTTCTATTTAAAACTTAACTTTTAACCCAGTTATATGTTAAGCTTTTAATGCCGTAATGCTTTAGCTTTGAAAGCAAAATTTCGAGATCAACAGTAACGAATGCCTTAGAGAGATCAATAAATACTCCCAGTACTTTTTCCCCTTCATCAAAGGACATAGATATTGTATTGCAAAGTTCAATAATAGCATGTTCAGTTAAGCAATATCTTTAAAATCCAAACTGATTTTTGTATAAAAGTGTATTTAATGTCATATAATCATAAAATCTATTAAAATTACCCTTTCAAATATTTTTGAAAACACAGGGAGTAGTGATATAGGACGGTAGTTGCAAACAGAAGAACAATCACCATTTTTAAAAACTGGATGAATTACTTGTTTATTTATATTATAGTAACATATATGTAGTAAATAAAATTGTGATATTCAAAAGAAAAAAAATAAAAGAACTAGCCACTGAACATCATTAAGCTCTATTTTTAGCTTCTGCATAAAGTGCAAATGCTGCTGGAGAAAAAAAAAAGCCTCTGTTTTAAAAAACAATATATTTAATGTTTTAGAGAGAGAAAAAGTTGATAAAACTTTGGATAAAACCTTTCCCATTAACATAAGTGTAGAGGATGCTCTTGCATTAAAAATGAATACTGATCTCAGCGATAAACAATATCAAATGATCAGAAACTCAGCTCTTGTATACAACGTACATATTTATCCTACCTTGCACGATATTTTTGTAGAAAAATTGAAATGCTATCTTGAGAATATACATTTTTCTGCAAAGTGTACTCTTCAAAGCAGATTAGATCACACTGTGAGTAGAATAATAGAAATGATTTATATGCCTATCTTTGATCAAAGTGATGAAATATTTGGAATTTTATATGGAAAGATTGGTTTTGATGGAGCTTCAAGCCAAAGTATTTATAAACAGAAATACGATACAAGCAACGCAAGTATAGAACTTAAGCATGAAGAAAATCTTTTCAGTACAGCTTTTTTGCCTTTATTGCTCAAAGTAGAAGATGGCGAAATTTGGAAAAATGAAAATCCTTCAAGCTGTCACTTTTGTAGACCTCTTCATCTACAATATAAAAAAAATGTCCAATTTTATCCAGAGAAGAAGAATCAGACCTAAAAAATCAAATAAATACCTTAAAGACGTTTTGCAAAGTTTTTAATATTGCAAGAAGAATTTTGCGGCTTTGCAAAGCTGCAAAATTTGAATTAATGCAATTAATTCAAATAAAATAATAATAAATTAAATCTATTGTTATGATTATGTCCTGGAAGTTACTTTAGTAACAACTTCCTTTTAATAAACGGCTAAATGCATATTTAATGAGCGAAATTCAGAAAAAGTAGTCCATTGTCAATGAGAAATTTTTAACATTTGGTATACGTAGCGACTTTTATAACTTAAAAAAAAAATGCTAATTTCAATGCGTTCGCGTATAATAACTTTCCACTTACTTAGTAAGTAAGAACGACCGTTAACTTTTCCAGACAAAAGTACATTTTATAAATAAATCTATCTGATTAATATAAGTAGTATTTAAATTTTAAAAATTTAAAAAAGTTTAACAAAAATTTTTAATCTTTAATAAATAGTTTTCTGATAAATTTTAGTTTTAAAAAATGAAAAGTATAAAAAATCAACCTAGTTGTAAGTGTTACATTTACAGATATTTAAGAATGCGCTGTAATCATGCGCAACATTTTTTGCAAGGCTTTTCCTATTTAACGATATTGTGAGTATACTGGCAAAAGACGACAAGTCAAAAATTGGCAGTTTTACTTTAAGATACAGTATTGTAAAGTTTAAAACGCTCTACAAACTGGCAAATACTCTAAGTTGGATAAAATCTTTTCTCTGGTTATAAAAATACATTTAACAGGTATTTTTTATTCGGGCTAAAAGCTTTAAATTAAAAATAATAAAAGCTCTAAGTTTTCTTTTAAAAAAATACCTAACATTCAGGTGTAATTAAATTTCAACTCCAAATGCAATTTAATAAGATTATAAAAGTTTCAAATTGGAACTAAACTTGAAGAATTTTTTTTCTTTTTTAATTTTAGGTTTCCCAAGAAATCTTTACGGTCTTATTAACACGGAAGAGCATTTGAAAGAAAGTTTATGCCTCTTTCCTTACTAATTTTATAAAACTTGGTAAGAGGTGGTTTTGATCCATGGATATGGAAATAAATTATTTCTTTAGAAAAGGTTTTTACCAGTATATTTACGATATATAACAAATTCTTTTTATTTGCAGATATTATATTAAATTAAAAAAAAAGATAGCAGAAACACTCATTTTATTCGTAGAGTCGTCTCTGAGTGTTCTACGTTTAAGTTTAAGACTTGCCCATTTGCACATTTCTCTTGTATATTTATGTGTGTATATATATATATATATATATATATATATATATATATATATATATATATATATATATATATATATATATATATATATATATATATATATATATATATATATATATATATATATGTGTGTGTGTGTGTGTGTGTGTGTGTGTATATATACATCAGTTAAATACACTCATTGAACAGTGTAATATGTTTAAATTTAAGGGGGTGTAGGGAACTCCCTCCCCCTCCCCTCAGAGCTGTTATATATGGGGGTGTAGAGAAGTCCCCCCCCCCTTCCTTCAAAGCTGTTATATATGTATTTGAGTTGGCACATTTAGCATATCCGTTGACAAGTTTTAAAATATAGATGGCGAATATCAAATATTTGAGGACCTTAATTATTTTTTTTTTCCAGTTGGCAAAAAACACATACAACCCATCTCCCTCATAAGAGACCTCTTTGGGACAGCTCTGCTCGCACATATCCATTTCTCTGTTGTAATTTTTATTAATTTTAAGTTTTTTGTAAAAAAATATTTTGAACTGTTTTTTAATCAAGCAGAAATATTATAAAAATTAAATATATTTTATGAGATTATTTCCTTCTAAAAAATAAGTTTGAAAAATACCACCCAGTGGCCACCGGACCAAAAAAAGACGTCTTTTAAACGTTTAGAAGACGTCCAAAACGTTCTAAAAACGTTCTTTAGACGTACAAAACGTATAGAAGACGTTTTAAATACGTCTTGTATACGCCTGTGCCTACTGGGTATTCCCTTAAATATTTAAGATTGTCATATAAGTATAAATATACGAGTTTATTCAGGTTATATATTTATATAACTGTATATATGACTTAAATTAACTAAATTAATATATATATATATATATATATATATATATATATATATATATATATATATATATATATATATATATATATATATATATATATATATATATATATATATATATATATATATATATATTGTAAGAATGTGCTCCGAGATATAAAACTAGAATATAAAACTATATTTACGTTATTGTAACTTTATGAAGGCATTATTTAAAAAATAAGCGATTAGAAATGTTGTAATTTATCATTATATATATATATATATATATATATATATATATATATATATATATATATATATATATATATATATATATATATATATATATATATATATAACCATACAGTTTCCCCTATTCTTTAAATATTAATAAATTAAATCTATTTTTAGATGATGAATCTGCATGAAAAATAAATTATTTTACTTAAGTTGAAGCGATAATAAAAAAAGTGTGAAGATCAACTGATAGTAAAATGAATGTTTACACTTTAAGATAAAATGACAACTTTTTTGATTTTTTTAAGTGATGTATTAAATGATGATAACATTTTAATGTATTTAATGATAACATAATTTTAAATTTAACATTTCGACAGGCTGCAAAGTTTAATAATTTGGTATGAAAATGATCAATATTAATCTTTAATATATTAAATTATTAATAAATTGAATTATTGAATTTTAATATTTAAATTTTAGGTTTTTAAATTTGTATCAAACATTAGAGAATACTTTACTGCTCTGTTGACGTAGCAAAGAATTTTACTTATCAGTGCTGAATAAAAGGTAATTTGTATTATTTGCATAACAATAGTTTTTTAAAAATACGGACGCAGTTACATAGAAGTGTTAGGTAGACAAAGCTTCATCCCTCTAGACCTATATTTTTATAATTATTTCAAAGAAAAACTGATTAAGAAAAGAGCCAATTTTTTAAGTGAAAAGCTAAATAAAAATTTCGAAAGTGTTTAAGAGTCTTGTTTCGTTGACTGTTTTACTTTTGCACGCATAAACATAATATTTGTTCGACATATTTGATTAAAAGTACATTAGGCATGTAAAACTGCTGTAACTGGGTCGATTCGGTTAAAATATTTTTCCTGGCATAAGCGCAAGGGTAATTTATGAAGTTTAGTGAGTTTTTAAAGTCTTTTAGTTAATTTTTATTTGGAGTTAATTTTACCTATTGTTAACTTGCTCAAATTCAAGAATTCGTGACGAAAAGGTATTCATAATTTCCTTACAGTGGCTGTTACTCACTGTTAACCCAGTGGCATTAGTTTTTCCACGAAATCAGATTATCCGGTGACGTCACTTTTCTAAGTAAAATTAGTTTGCGCAGCGCTAATCAAATTAGTTTATAATCTAAAGTTAAACATTACATTAAGGACTTAAATATGTTTTTTAAAGTTAATGACAATGGATTTTGAGCTATGATAAGTGTACATACCGATCACCTCAAATAAGTTTCAATACTTGCACTTCATACAAATAAAGCAGCTTATTCAAAATGTACCAAAGAGGCAATCATAGGTATTTTATATAAAACTTTTATTAGCTATAATCAACTTTATATACAGTTACAAGATCTATAATCTGCAAGATCAAGGCATGTTGAAGAGCTTATGTTTGTTTAAATTTCGTGCTATATTATTCGTTTTGTTGTTGCTTGTATTAGGAGTATCTTAACATATGTTTGTAAAAAGAATATGTTTGAAAAAGTATGTTTGTCTAATTAGTAATCAATTCCCGTAAAGTGTCTCATCAATGATGAATAATAATCTTGCACATTATAAAGCTATGGCTTTATAATGTACAAGGTTAACTAACCTTAACCCAAACCACAACAAACTGTCAAACAAACTTTCACAGTATACTGTGAAACCCAGTTTGTCGGGGAAAGTATTAATTTTTCTAGAAATTAAAGTTTTGCATGACACATGCAGTTATTATCTCTAAAAGTAACAAAAGTTGAAAACAAAGTTTATAAAAAAAGTAATTAAATATTCATTTGTTTTTCAAACTAATGAGATTATTTAATGTTTTTAAATATGACAAACAGTACTTTTTACTGTTTGTGTTTGAATATGAACATTGTACTGTTGGTATCTTTGATTTATAATAACAATTTACAAAATGGACTACCTAAAGATAAAGACTTTGAATCAACATTCTTACATCTATGTTACTCTATATGGTCACCTATTGATCTTTAAGATTTTAATATTTTTGGCCTTGGTTTCATTAATAAACTTATTAAAACTAATTAATGACTTAATAACTGTTCCAGAAAGACAACCTGAGCGAGATTTACCTATGGATTGAAGAGTAGCTAACCAGAATTAATACCAAAGAATTAAATTTTTATAAAACAGTTAAAAACTTTAATTTTTGCAATAACTTAAAAGTTAATACTTTTGACGATTTTTTAACTTTTATGGTTTCTTTTGAAATTTATATTTTTTGTGTGTTTGTGATTGTAAAAATTTTAATGCAATTTATATATAAGCAAAACTTAAATTATGAATTTTTTATATATAAAAAAAACTTTCAGAATGATTTCTTTTACGCTTAAAAAGAAACATCACTTTTTTCAAAGAACTTCATAAGGATGAACTGAGCTATTCCGGCCACGTCTTAATTCTGGCTGTTTTTCAAAAGCACTAAAATCTTTAATGAAGAGTAAGATTGTTTTGTTATAAAATAAAAAAAATAATAATTCATCTTAATAGTTTTTTTAAATTCAGTTTAAAGTTTATGAAGACTTCCCGATGCTCCTGAAGACTTCCCGATGCTTCAAAAACAATCTTGAAATATTTAGTAAAGTTTTTGTCTCCGTAAACTCGATTTCTAGTATTTTCAAAGGTTTTTAGACAATTATTCATCGGACATTTTCCCCCGTGAACTTTGGGAAGTCAGACGAGAAAACTTAATTCAAAACTAATTTAAATCTTTTTAAAAGGCTAGAAAATAAATAATAAAAACCCTCTAACACTACACATTATTCTACTGTATTCTACTAAGCCGCAGCAACGTATTAGCGCATTGAATTTACGGATTTATTTCGTTAGTACAACGAATAATCCGTTAAAATTAAGGAGTTATTACACTAGACAGCAAACTTTCCGCGGTTGTTATTCCTATGAAATAAATGTGTTAAAAAGTTATTTTAGTGATTATTTTGTTAAAATCACTAAAATCTAAAATTAGAAAGGCCAGAATTGTGACTTCATAACCAAATAATCCTTATATTTGTTAATGTTTGCATTTTTATTTAATTGCATTATTTTATTTCAATATTCTACATTAAAACGTTTTAACCAAAAATTGAAAACTAATCAAATATTTATAATATTTAATCCAATATACTTTAAATTACAATAAAAATAGTTAAAAAAAATATTTTTAATACACTATACTCAAGCTAGTACATTTATATTAAACACACACATATATATAATAGATGCTTAAAATAAACCAATGCCAAGATATTAGTTTTTGGTCGCTAGTTTTGGTTTGGTTGGTTTAAATAGTTTTTGGTTTTGAATACTGTTGTTACTCGTACATAGGTTCGCACTTTAAATCGGACACCATGCCGTCAACTCCTTAAAGATTAATATAATATAAAATAAGGAAAATGTGGAAACTTAATAACATACTTAGTATAAAATCAAAATAAAATGTTACTGATAAAACTATAGAAAATGTGTTTGGAAATTCATTATATATAAATTTCTATTATAAATTTTGTTATTTTAATTATCTCTGATATCGTTTTCTAAAGATAAAGCTAAATGGAACAAGTAAATTATATCTTTATTAAAATGTAAATTAAAAGAAAGTATAAGATTACCTTAACATTATCTGATAACTGAAAGACTCTATACGTTTCACATACATCAATACCTATCAGGAGCAAAAAATAAGGTCTCTAACCTTTTAAGAACTATGATAAATCAAAAAAAGTTTAAATATGCAGACCAAAAAAAACGCAAGCAACTATATTAAAAAATTAATTTTACAACTTATTTAAACTTACCGTGTCATACCACTTGTCACATGTTTAAAATACCTAATTCTAAAATAATAGTGAATATAGAATATAGTAAAATAATAGTTAAAAAAGTGTGATATAAACTTAATCTTAACTAAACTAAATAAATATGCATGCCTAAAGAAATGCATGTTAAAATACAATTTTTTTAAATTTACTAATTCAAACTTACAGTGGGATATCACAAGCCACGTGTCTAAAACAGCAAATTCTAAAATAATATAAACACGCCAGATATAAACTCATTATTATTATTATTATTATTATTATTATTATTATTATTATTATTATTATTATTATTATTATTATTATTATTATTATTATTATTATTATTATTATTGATATTATTGTTATTATTATTATTGCTATTACTATTATTGTTATTATTGTTATTATTATTATTGTTATTATTATTATTGATAGTTGAAACTCAACTAAATAAATATGCTCGCCAATAGAAATGCAAGTTACAATATAAATTTTACAACCAATTTAAACTTACAGTATGACAACTTATACCAAGTGCCTAAAATAGCAAATTCTGAAATAATATAAACAAGCCATACACAAACTTAGTTGTAATCTTATTATATAAACATGAACGTCAAAAGAAATGCAAATTAAAATATAATTTTTTTTAAATTTTCAAACTTATAGTGGGATACCACATGCCACGTGTCTAAAACAGTATATTCTTAAATAATACAAACACATCAAATATAAACTTAGATTAAACTCAACTAAATAAATATGCAAGTTACAATATAAATTCTACAACCAATTTAAATCTACAATGTGATACTAAATGCCATGCCTCTAAAGCAGCAAATTCTAAGATAGTATAAATAACTCATATATAACTTTAGCTGTAACTCAATTAAATAAACATGAATGTTAAAAGAAATAGAACTTCCGATATAAATTTTTTAATTTTACAACTAGTTTTAACTTACAGTGGGATAGCAAATGCCATGTGTCTAAAACAAAAAATTCTGAAACGATATAAACACACCAGTATAAACTTAGTTTATGATATTGGATGCCACATGTTTAATTTGGAAATTAATAAAAACTGCAATTTATAAAAGCATATTAACTAGCAATGTAAAATTAGTTGTAACTAACCTAAATAAATATACCTATCAAAGATGTTAAAATTTTAAATTTTACAACTGATTTAAACTAATATGGTATGTTACTACATGTCATATGCCTAAAATATAAAGTTAAAAAAGACTATAAATAATTCATTCAGTCTATATTATAGAAATAGTTGTTCAACAATAGTTCTTCAAAATTTCTATAATATAGACTATAATATAGTATAAAGTTTCTATAATATAGTATATAGACTATAATATAGTATAAAATTTCTATAATATAGACTATAATATAAGAATCTATGCAATCCATATAGTCTATATGGATTGCATATATTCTTGAATAATTTTCTAGCTTTAGACATGTAGTAACTTATCATATATGATATGTAACAACTTACCATATATGTTGTTATATATCATTTAGTAATACTAATGGCTTTTAATTTAAAACAAAATAAACCTTATGGTTAAATTTTCTATAAAAAGCTTCTATATAAAGCTTTCTATATAAAGCTTTATATTGAAAATTTAAAATAACCAAAATAACCTTCGAAATTACAAATAACAGAGCGTAATTTAAATATATTTATCCATTTACTTTGTCTACTAAATGTAAAGCTTTTTAAAAAATGGCATATTACACTTACTGCAACCAACTTTTATCTACGATGTAAATGTAAATGTGAGCAAAACGCATTCAAAACTTTATCGTTTTCAAAATAAAAAGCTATAATATAATGAAAATTTTTTTTTTGACCGATTAGAATATTTAATCCGTTGAATTAACGAAATTTCAAAGAATCCGTAAATAGTTAATTTTACTCCGTTAATTTTCTGGTTTTTGGTAACGAATTAATCCGTTAATTTAACGAAAAAGTGCAATCCGTTACTTCTCTTAACGGACTGTTTTTAGAGTGTATACTTTTGAACAAACATTATCTATATTGAAGTTAGTAAAGCGACGCAATGTCCATAGTATATAAACTTTTAAATGAAGCAAAAGTTAAAAAATGTATTTTATTTTTTTCAAGACGAAAAGATTGATATATATGTCTTTCATAATAATAAATCACTACAACCCAAATATTTATTATTTAACGGCTCACAGAAAGGTTTAAAGCGAGTTATTCAGTGTGCCCCAGTACTTTCACGTTATTCACTGTGCCCCTGTACTGGGGTAAAGTAAATCAATGGACACAGCTGTGAATTAATGATAGTGATTAGGGGCTTAGCAGAATAACTATGAGGCTAAGAGAGTAAAGATATTGTACACTATAGTTTTGGCATACTTTTAATAAATAGATTAGTATAATATTGAAAAAATAGACATTTTGAAAATCGAGAAGAAAAAAATATTTATTCATAACAAAACTTTTAAAAGTATTAAAAAATTATTCAAATATTATTATTCAAAACCTAAAACTAATAAATTCGTTTTCGTATAGTTTGTTTGTTAAAAATTCATGAAATTAATCATTAAGATCGTTAAATAGAGAATCAACCTATTCACTGTACCCCGATTCACTGTGCCCCTCCATAACAAATCAAATTTAAGTCTAATTTAAAGGGACATGAGTGTTGATAAAAGAAAACCAATACCACTAAAAGGAAAAATAAATATCAATAATCCGAATGTAAAACTTTAACTTTTAAAATTATTTTAATCATGATTCTCTTAACAAACATAAGGATAATGAGAAATTTTACTGTAGTTAGCTAAAAACAAAAATTACCTACCAAAAACCGATAGTTAAAAATTTTGTGGTAACAACTATAAATAATGGTGACTGATATATGAGCACATAATATGATTACATTGCCAAGATGAACAAAACTCTGATCTTTGAGAAAATGCCTTTTATTTACTGTGCCCCTCGATCCACGGTACCCTATACAAATTTGAGGGAGTCCAAAAAATGGAAAGGTAATTACATACTATAGTTTTTGCTAACCAATTTTTACAATATGTTTTAGAAATATGTTTTAAATGGTTGCAATGTACAGTCTTATCATAAAAATATGTGTTTATGGTTTTGCTATCTGTATTGTTACTTCAACAGGTAGTGCATATTCTTCTGACTATTATTTTTATTATTATTGTCTATTATTATTGTCTATTATTATTGTCTATTATTATTGTCTATTATTATTATCAATATTTTTATTTAATAATTACTACTAACTTTACTTTATTTTTTTTTAGACTCTTTAACACTTTGCTTTGAGAAAAACTGTTACTCGTTTATTTATTGTGATTTAGTAGATGGTAAAGCAGTATGTTCATGTCCATATGGGTATAATTTACAAGCCGATAATAGATCATGTGTATATGGTATTACATTTTATATCAAGACATTTTTTAATTTAAAACTTAAATTTTCAGTTTTTTATAGGAAGAGATATGTTATGATGGTAAAAATAATAATAAAAGTAATAATGATAATAGTAATAAAAAAAAATAGTTACAATAAAAATAGAAAATATAATAGTAATAACATGCAGTAAGTGACCTGTGTAACGGGTCATCGTTGATCTGTACCCAGCTAGCACACATACATTAGGCCATATATAAAACTATATAAATGGCCTAATGTTCGTGTGCGCATATAAAACCATATATACAAATAAATGAAATAAATTTTATATTATTTGTTTATATATATATATATATATATATATATATATATATATATATATATATATATATATATATATATATATATATATATATACATATATATATATATATATATATATATATATATATATATATATATATATATATATATATATATATATATATATATATGTATATATATATATATATATATATATATATATATATATATATATATATATATATATATATATATATATATATATATATATATATATATATATATGTATATATATATATATATATATATATATATATATATATATATATATATATATATAGATATATATATATATATATATATATATATATATATATATATATATATATATATATATATATATATATATGAATATATGTATATACATATATATATATATATACATATATATATATATATATATATATATATATATATATATATATATATATATATATATATATATATATATATATATATGTATGTATATATATATATATATATATATATATATATATATATATATATACATTATTAGGATATATATATATATATATACATTACTAGGATGGTGTCACTCATACAGAAATCTGATCTAAGTAGTGACACCAATTTTTAATATAATATAAGTAATAATAAGCAAAGACACACTGAAACACATGGACCGTAAACACACAAACCAAAGCACATAAAATATACATCAAAACAAACATGTAGAAATCAATTTGCAGGTTTTACTAATAAAAGAAAAATAAAAATAAAAAGTGCTGATTATAATTGTAATAATTACGAAAAAAAACTAAAAAATATTTAAATCATAAGGATAATAATGCCAAAAAGTTAGAATAAAATGTTTTTTAAAATTTTTTTAAATTGATATTGTTTAATATGGAGTAGAGGTATTTTAGGATATATTTTTTTAGACTCATTCAAAATGCATACGAGGCTCCTGTTCCATTTACAGACGCACTGATAAACAATAGAACGTTTACCATACTTTTGGGTTTTAAAAGATGATACATTTAGTTTTACATTGTGTATATTTCTAGTCGAGTAGGAGCGTAATAGTCTACTTTCTGTGAACAAGTTTGTGATAGGAGATGGTATATTTTTATTTAAGGAGTCAAAAACAAAAAGAAGATTAGCATACTTTACTAGCGCTGGAAATGTTGGAATAAAAAGATTTTTGAAGGACTTTGATGTATATGATTTAATTAGTTGGAAGTTTATTAATCTGATGGATTGACGTTGAGACGATAGGAACTTGTTAATGCGATAGTTTCCAACTTGACCTAAAGTTTCTTGCTTAGTTCATCAATATGAAAGTTCCATGAAAGATTACAATCAATTAATACACCAAGACATTTAATAACTCTTGAAGGATATAGCCGTTTATTATTAATTTTGATTTTGATTTCGACAATATAAATCAAAATACTATGGTCAACAGCTTTCGTGATTTTTTCCGTTGTACTTATTAATGCATGGCAAGTAGAATATTTTGATCGAAAACCAAATTGAAAATCATTTAAAAAATTAAATTAGTTTATAAAAGAGTACACTCTAGAATACATAAGTTTTTCAAAAAGCTTACTAATATTAGATAAAAGGGAAATAGGTCTGTGTTAGTTCATGAAAATTTAGAGCCATTTTTAAATATTAGAATAACGCAAGATAATTTCAAAATATCAGGAAATTTTCCATTTATAAATGAGATACGAAATAGTTTAGAAAGAATATTTGAAAAATTGTAGTTAAAATCTATTAGAAAATTTGTGGGAATACTGTTTGGACCTAATCATGTTTTTGGATTCAATTTAGATATAAGAGATGAAATTGTAGAAATATTTGTTGGAGATAATAATAAACTATGTAAATTTGGATGTTTAAGATATTTTTGACAGTTAATGTTAAATGAATAAATATTGGATTTGAGTTTATGAGCAACATTTGTAAAAAAAGTGTTAAATGATTAAGAGATTAAAGTCGGGTCAGTTATATATGTATCATTTTCTTGCAAACAGTTGGGAGATGATTTATTCAAATTTTTTACATTAATTAGAGTGTTAATACCTTTCAAAATTTGGCAAAGATTTTTTACATTTTCTGAGAAATATTTTTAAATTGTTTTTTTTACTAAGTTTAATTACTGTAATTATTATATATTTATATTTTTTAAAAATTTTTTTAAATTTTTTTTTATTAGTAAGATCTTTAGATCTTAACATTTTTTTTTGGGAAAGATTGCGCACTTGAATAGATTTTATAATTCCTATTGTAATCTATGGTTTGAATCGACGTTTGAAGTTTTTTATACTGATTTTTTTAAGCGGCGTAACGATCTAAAATCAATGTTGTTTTAGTAATAAACGTTTGGAAACATGTGTTAGTATCATTGGACTTTGTAATATCGTCCCAGTCAATTTTTGATAAATCATATTTAAAGTTTTCTTTATAAAAGTTTTTAAAACTGGTGGTTTTAAAAACTTTTATAAAGAAAACTTTATATATGTTTTTTAAATCTGCGTGGTATAAATATTTTATTGAAATTGGGACAAAGACAAAATTAAGGTAAGTGATCAGAAACAGAAGTTGTCAAATTTCCTGAAACAATATCATTAGCTGTTAAACTAGAGAAAATATTATCAATAATTGTAGCAGGGTGATCAGTAATTCTAGTCGGCAAAGTAATAAAAGGGCGAATATTATTAAAAGAAAATAAATTTAAAAAATTAGATGTCGCAATGTCATTATTTGATTGCATCATATCAATATTATAATCTTCAAGTAAGAAAACAGATTTATTTTCAGCAGATATTTTTTAAAGTAAGACATGATATTATTAAAAATATTATTATCCATGCAAGGGTGTCTATAAATGCAACCAACAATAATACTAGACTTTTTAGAAAAAATAACTTCAACAAATGTGGATTCTAAACAATTAGGTGTATAAATCATTAAATCATCTCTTTGTTTGTATATTAGTTTTTTTAATAAATATAATTAAGTACCGCCACAAGGGGATTCCGTTGGTGTCTGCTCGATGCTGTTATTATCAATGAGAATCGGATGAATTGAGGATGTTCCCTTTTTTTAACCTTGTTTCAGTTATACCAATAATGGAAAAATCAAAATTAATTAATGATAATATTATGTTTAAATCCTCGAAGTGTTTTTGTAACGATGATATGTTTAGATAAAAAAAAGGAGAGAGTGCTTATTTTATCAAAATTAAGTGTACATAATTCGCTTATGTCATAATACTTACAAAATATGTCTAATGAAGAACAAAACTTCTTCCTCAGAATCTAAAACACAAGATGAAACATAATTATTAATTTGATTTAAGACTTTATTTAAATGAAAAGACGGGAAAAGGTTTGTAGACAGAGGTAAACCATCAGTTTTAAGAACTATATCAGAAAAAAATAGCAAATTAAATTCATTATCTTTTACATCTGTGAATGGAAAGACACTTTTAATACAGTTTAAACAACTCCGCAACGAGCGACTTAATTGAAGCAAGTTGTACTTAGTATCATTAAGCCTGTCACATTTTGTTAGAGACCAAAATAAACATTTTGTATGAGACCAAACAGTAAACTATAACAAAAACAAAAAATTTGAAGAAAATTATAAAATCAGACTAAAAGATTAAAAAAACTAATTAAAGAAGAGAGAAATGTAAATTACAAAATATAATAACTATAATAAAAATAAATATAAAATTTTATATATCAAAATAAGTAATCTAATAATAAATTGTAGTAATATGAATAAAAATAGTAGTGTAATATTTAAAATACGATAAAAAATAATAGATACAAATAAAAACTATAAAAATTATCTACTCTTTTAAGAAACTGATCTTCTTTTCTGATCTTCTTGTTAATTTATCAACTTATCTCATTTTATTTAACTATTTTTCTTTTCTTTTTTTTTTTTTTGTCAAGTAAAAATCGATATTCGAATTTTCTTTTATTTGTATTTTTTTAATGTTGTTTTCGGGTGTTTATTTGTTAACAGTTTCTTTTTTTATAATATGTTTTTTAACAAATAAACACTCAAAAACAACATTAAAAAAAAACAGATAAAAGAAAATTCGAATATAGTTTAGTTATTCATTTATTAATAATCAATAACCACGGATATTAGTAACTAGCTATTTTATAAATTCTTATAGCGTGAGTTCTTATGTCACTACTATGAACTATTGTTACTGTTATTACTAACCTTGCTCATATTAAGTTATTATATACATTTACTGCTGCATACATTTATCAGTATGTCACACGAACCAGAAACACGCATGTTTTCATAATATTACAAACTTCATGATGAAAAACCGTATCTTTGATGTTCATTTCTATTTCAGATATATTATCATTTGCAAAGTGAAATAAAATATTTACATAAATTACAACTTTACATAAAACACCATGTTTAAAAATACCATTGAGGTGACTATTAAACTCAAAATTAAATGCTCGATTTACCAAATCATTTCTATCATTTACAGTTCAACCGCTCTACCGTTCAACCACAATTCAACAGGCATTAAATTTAAGATTGCTCACGTCATTTTAAATTGCAAGTAAAGGAAATGATTTAGTTGATAACCATAACATCTTCAAAATTTTCCTTTAATTCTCAAGGACTTCCTACATAAGCT